CCTCCTGGGTTCAGGCAATTCTCCTGTCTCAGCCTCCTGAGTAGCTGGGATTACAGGCACGCGCCACCATGCCCAGCTAATTTTTTGTATTTTTAGTAGAGATGGTGTTTCACCGTGTTGACCAGGATGGTCTCGATCTCTTGACCTCGTGATCCACCCGCCTAGGCCTCCCAAAGTGCTGGGATTACAGGCTTGAGCCACCATGCCCGGCCCACAGGCTCCTTCTATTCCTGCTGCTACAGAGAACTCTGAAGCCACAGGAAGCCACAGGAAGTTGTACCCTCTCTAATCGCAGGTAAATGGCACAGGCCAGGCTGAGGTTGGAGGCTAAAGGGAAAGAAGAGCCCTACACCCTAGAAGGGACACTGCAGTGACTCCGATTGGAGGCGAGTTTGCTGCGGCCTCACTAGGATCACAGCAAGCCACAGAAGCTGACGGCTGGACTCATTCTTTGAGCTTAATGCAGGGCTGCTTCCGTTTTGGAGATGGAAGGGTCCTCATAGATTTCCCTCCTTCTTGGTGTCTCTCCATTTTCCTCCCTTTCTTCCCCACTCTGCTACAATAAAAAAACACTTCTCCTCTCTCCCTGGTGCAGTCCTCACTGCTGCACAAAGCTACTGCGAAGTTTTGTCTCCCGGGTCCGACTCTACCGACCACCACCGGCCCTCCTCCTGGCAATTCCCTGGTGGACCCACCCCCTGGCCAGCTCCCAGCCTCCGGCTTCAGGCACGCACCCAAAATCGGCGCAGCTGAGCCCCTCAGCTCCACCACGCCAAGTGGCAGGAGAGGGGCAGGACCCTTTTCTCGCCGCTGGCCCCCAGAGGGCCTCGCCCCTTGCCCTCTTCTGGGGATGCGGGAAATCAATGGGAATCAATGCTTTTTAGAAAGAACTTACTTCCCCTTCGCAACCAGTCGGCGACGTGGCAAAATTCTGTCTGTACAAAAAATACAAAATTAGCCGGGCCTGGTGGTGCGTCTGCTGTCCCAGCTATCTGGGGGCTGAGGCAAGAAGATCGCTTGGCCCCGGGAGGTGGAGGCTGGTGGAGGCTGCAGTGAGCCGAGTTTGCACCACTGCACTCCAGCCTGGACGACCAAGTGAGACTCTGTCAACAAACAAAACAAAACAAAACTTCCCCATGGGAAAACAGTTTGTGATTTCTGTTTTCAGGGTTCTTCAAAGGACTAAAAGCAAAAGGCAACGACGGATTCGTTCTGCATGTCCTAGTCGTGGGCCCTGGTGAGTGGCAGACCCTGCTCCTCCCGAGAAGACCCACAAGCGACCCTCAGCCCATCCCTGCCCTGGTGGAGCCCGCGATCGGGGCACAGGATCCGAAGGGCAGCGGCAGCTCCGCAGCGCCCCGAAAGCCACTGAGCAGCTGGGCACAGGCTCCCTCACTAGGTGAAGGTGGAGCAAAAAACGGGAAGAGCCATCCCGGGAGCCTGCTGGGTGTTCATCTTCCCTTCGGCCACCAGGTGACTAGGGCAGGTTTCCGATAGGGGCATTTCCTGGGACTTCTGAAGCAGGCCAGGGGCAGGGTGGATGAAGGCCATTGGACTGTCCTGGCTCCAGAATCTCCCAACGCGCGGGTGTTCAACGTGACCAGAGCGACTCACCGGTCTCTAATGTCTCCGGTTTTCCAAGGCCTCCTCAGTCATCCTGAGGACAGAAAGGCTGGGAGTAGTTTGGTGATTGCGCCCCACCTACAGCATCCTGTAGAATTGGTAGTCACGGTCTCAATGGTGCAATTGGTTAGCGCGTTCGGCTGTTTACCGAAAGGTTGGTGGTTCAATCCCACCAGGGATGCCTCGTGTTGTGTTTTAACCCGTTTCTATCAACCAGGTTAACCCATTTCTGTTAACATACAATAAACCGGGTTAATCATGGGGCATTAATCCTGAGACACACATGTCCTCTTCCTGACCTCCTTACGTCTGAGGCTGTGAGAAGGACCAACTGCGCCTTATACATGTCAAACTGAGGGATCCCAGAGACCTTAGACAGTAATTCACTTCTGGATAAAAATCTTCTTTGCTGCCATGGAGGGTTTGGCTGAGTAAGGTGCCTCAGGTTTTTCATTGATAATAATAGGAGACCTATTACAGTAGCATCCTATCCCCAGGATGTTCCTGGGTTTACTGATGGCTCTATTAATAATGTGACCAGTAGAATCAGTCATCTTCATGCTGATCGTCGCCATGGTTGGTGAAAACAGCATTTCTTCCTTGGTTTGTGTCATTTATTTAACCCTTTACAAATGCTTTTCAAGGCCAGTATCAGCGGCTCACGTCAGTAATCCCAGCGTTTTGGGAGGCCGAGGCAGGCGGATTACCTGAGGTCAGGAGTTTGAGACCAGCCTGGCCAACATGGTGAAACCCTGTCTCTACTGAAAATACAAAAATTAGCCGGGCATGGTGGTAGGGGCCTGTAATCCCTGCTACTTGGGAAGCTGAGGCAGGAGAATGGCTTCAACCTGGGAGGCGGAGGTTGCAGTGAGCCGAGATCACACCATTGCACTCCAGCCTGGGAGACAAGAGCGAGACTTGGTCTCAAAAATATAAATGTTTTTGAAATGAGGTGGTTTTCATGGTGTTAGGATTACAAAGGGTGCTGCAGTCCCCACTGTTATTGTATACATTTCTTTGGTCACTTGTGCAGGTATTTCTGTAGTGTAGACAACAGGATGTGCCATTTTTACATTACAGTGTTTATTTAATGCTTCTAATTTGAATACCTTCTACAAACTTATCTTCCGAGGGAGCAGGACCAAATCATACTCCAATTTGTTTCCCAATTCTATCAAGGTCTCTTTGTCACTTACTTTCCGGCACAGCAAACTTCCTGCACATCGACATATGATGTTCCACTGAGGGGAGAGGCGCCCTCCTGGCTTAACCGAGGGGGTGGACAACAGAAGCACATGGTGGACATCACACACAGATACTCTGCGGCATACGATGAACTGCTAAGCTTTTAAGATATTTTAAAGTCCTCCAACATCTGTAATTGTTTTCTGTGGTGACCAAGTCACGTGGGTCTGGAGAAGACAGGCCACCGTGACCTCTTTGAAAGTTGTCTGTCAAGTTGCTCTTCTAAGGAGAGCAAAATCACAAAGGTCCCAGGCGATATTTTTCTTCTCCCCTTTCCTCTTCATAATCTTGATTTTGCTTTCATTTGACAGAACCAAACTCACGCTCATTCTCCCTCCTAAAAATGGTAACTTAGCATGCAAATTATTATTCTTTGATAGATTTTTCAGGGGCCATGTCCATAACAGTTAGCGCATCTGAGACACATTGTGGGAGCCGACAGAACCCTGCACCCAGCAGGCACCTTGTGCAGACCTGGACCTTAGAGCTATTGGCTCATGTTCCTTCGGTTCTTCTGTTGAATATCATGTTAGAAATTAAGCTCTTTGGCTTTTACCCACTACTATGGCTATCGCGCAGTTTCTTTTGCTCTCTCTCTGTCTCTCTCTCTCACTCTCCCTCTCTCTCTCATTTTTGTATCATGATTTTTTTTCCATCAGTGGCATCAGTGAGGGTTTCTAGTTTTGATGTTATAGAGTGAACTTCTGGGATCGTTTTATGACTATGTAACAGTCGGTATTCAATTTTTCTGAGGATGAAGGTTTGTGTTTTACCCAGGTTTTCCTTAGAATAAAAATGAGGTTACTAAGAGCATTTTTGGTAGAAGCCTTGTTGCACGTATTGTTCATGCAATGCGATAGGAGTAAGGGACCACCACAGGGAGGTGAGAAGGTGCTTCTCAGAGGTGGGGGCTGTTCTTGATGTCAGAAGGATGAGGGTTGGAAGAACCTTCAGGCACAGCGCAAAGCGTGAGTGACAGCTCTGTGGAGGCCAGGAAGCTGGAAAATAGGGAATAAAAGAGGCCAGTCTGGCTGGAGCAGAGAGAGCGGGATGGAATCGCTCTGAGCACTGAGAAGAGATGGAGAGGTGGGCAAGGCGCCTGGCCATTCAGGGTCGGTTAGTTAGGAAGTTTTGTCTACAAAAATGGGAAGGTGTTTAAGTGGTTTAGGCTGGGAGGTGACAGGGTCACATTATATTATGAAAAAGCGACTCTGCCTCTTGTGTTGAGATTAGAGAGGCGATAGAAGGGATATGTGTAAACCACAAGAAGACTAGGTCAGTACTCCTCCACCCTCACTCCCCAGGTGAAGGTGGCCTAGGCTACGGTGGTGATGGAGGAGACAGAGGAGGACAGACTCAAGGAAAATTTGCATGGCAAAACCCAGTAGGATTTGCTGATGGATGCAATACAGGAGGGGAGAGGTAGATTATCACGGCTATATGTTAGTTTGCTTATACAAGATGGATTCATTTGCAATGAAATTGTTAATTGCAATTGACTCTAAATAATGGCACGACTTAAAGTTATGCAAACATTTGCATTAGATAAAACGCAAAGTTTTTAAAGTTTTTAAAGTTCAAGTTTTTTAAGTTTTTAGCTGGGTGGACAGCATGGCTTTACTTCCTATTTCTTGTTATTTCCTAATCTTGTTTAAAAAGTTTTTCTCTTTCTGAAAGGCTTATTTCAGTGGTAGTCCTTCTGCAAAACCTTTTATATATTTAAATTAGAAAATAACTACAAGTGCCATGGACATGTTGATTATTGTTTTTTTTTTTGCCATATGAAAATTGGTTAGTACAGTGTTTTCATCATGAAAACTTATGATCTTGGTCTTTCCTTCTTGCCTTTGGATGGGGGCAAAAGAGAGACACTGGCTACCCTGACAAACTTAAAGCGGACTCCAGGAATATCACCAACGGCATGACCTTTGCGACCAAATCCAGCAACCAGAACTTCATCTTTTTCCTCAATAAAGTTCAAGCAACTATCACGGGGTACAAAGGCTGTGATTTTCCTGCCATTCTTGGTGGGCTGGACCCTGACGCACTTCACAATGGCAGAATTTGGCTGCTTGGCTTCAACTCCTAGTTTTTCCAGCAGGATTCCCTTTGCAGGAGAAGCACCTCCAAAAGCGTTGGCCTTCAGGGCTGTGCCCAAATGGGCTTTCTTGTAGTGTTTATCATGCCACTTCTGGTGTCCTTGGTGGCTACGGAGCTTCTTAGCAGTACGAAGTCCAGAACACTGGCCCATCCTGCCGGCTTTGAGAGTGACCTAAGGCCACCTCTCCGGGGATCTGGGGGCTGCCTTCTGAAGCCTGGCGTCTGCACCGCGTGCCCGGGCCTGGAAGTCAGACTCGGGGCGGGGCGGCAGCGTGAGGCCGGGAGCCCTAATAGCGGGCTTGGGATCGCTCAGGCCACCAGGGGTTGTGTCTCCCGCCTCTTTAACCTGGCAGGGGCGGTTCAGGTGGTGGGGGGAAATCAGGGAGTTGCAGGATCCAGGGCGGGTGCTTTGAACGTGAGGCGGAGGGGAGAGGGGGAGTTCCCGGTCCCGCTGCACTCCGTCCATCCCCCCCGCAGCCCCTCACCTGGTTGTGCGGCTGAGGGTGCGGTCCCTTTAAGGCCCCGCAGCGCCTGCGCCTGGGGCTGTCGGCGGGAAGACCCGGAGGAGCCGCGGGCTGCGGTGGGAGGGGCTGCGCGGCGGTTGAGACGGCGGCGGTGCCGGGAGGGGTCGGTGAGGGTCCCGAGGTGGCCCGAGCTGAGTGAGCCCGATGCTTTTGGAAACGCCGGACGGGCGACCAGCGCAGCCGGGAGCCGGGAGCCGGGCCCAGGCGCGGGGGGCGGGCGCGGCTGCCCTTTGGATGGAAGTTAAGGTTTCCTGCGAAGTCCACCCGGCGTTTCCGAGGTGAGGGCGCCGCGCCAGGCCCGGCGGGCGGTGAGTCGGGAACCGCCGGCGAGCAGCTGGGGCGTCCCGCGGCTCTCGGGCTGCCCCACGTGTTGCTGCGCGAGCTGGCGGGCGCGGCGGCCCCGCCGGGGCCTGTTTCCAGGTTCCATTCCTCGCCTGCCGCTGCAGCCCGCCGCCCTCCTCTCGTGGGCGCTGGGGAAGAGCTCGCGGCGGGTCCTCCTGTGGCAGCGC